CAGCCCTGGGTGCTGGAGCAGCCGTGTGGAGACCCCTGCCAGTGCTGAGATGCTTACACGTTGGGTTGGGATGTTTTCGTGATGCACATTTTCTTTGCATAAAACTGTCTCTTATACATGAGTTGCTGTGGATTTGTTTCTCCAAAATACCTAGACTAATACAGAGTCCCTAATAAAACGATTAAAAAAATTAGAGCTGGTTTTGTTAATGAACACATGCAGGAAGAAACTAGGGAAGGGGAGCTGCTTAAGGACAAAAGGAAACTTTCCTCTTGTCTCAGGACTGACCCTGAGCACCCGTGAAGTTCAAAGGAAGGGTGCAAGGCAAAGGCGAACATGATGCAAGCCACCTGGAGCAGTCAAGATGACCCCTGAGGATCCCTCAGGAAGATGCCACACAGGAGCACAAGACAGTGCTGGAAGTCCAGCAGATGGACGGAAAGGTCTTTTTCTCTGCTCCATTACGGTTTCTGTGGCTATGCCCCAGAGGAAAGCCTTACCTTGAATTTCATATATGTGGGGGGCAGGGGGGCATATACTTAAAGATTCGAGTCTCACTCCGTGCCTAACAATTTTGTTAGAAACAAATAAGAAGAGAATGATAAATTGGATAACATTTCTGAAATGAAGAAGAAAGGTGTGTGCTCTTCTCCCAGCTGAAATCTGAGCCACCTGCACCTTGAGGAGGATAATAAGCAGCTCTACCTCCAAGTAGCTGCAAAGATGAGCTCAAACTAACAGGTGTGAGTGGGGCACAGGGCTAGGCACTGTTTCATTGGGTTGTACTTAGGACCACTATGAGTCAGAACCGACTTAAGGGCATCTAACAACAACAACTACACTCTTTAAATGCTATCTTTCTCCTCTCCTGCAAAAAGGGGAAAAAAACGCTTTCGAATAGATCAATGGCTCAAAAATTCTATGCACGTATTTAGCAGTGCTACACTCTCATACAATATACTAGAATTTATACTTCATTTCTTAATCCACTCTCATGTGTCAAATATTATATATTTTTGTGGTTATGTCGTATTGGTGGCAAGAGTACCTACAAAGTATAATACCCAGATTCTCTCAGTTTTATTAAATACTCAGTGTGAACCAGGCTGTATGCTATACAGCAGCACACAGTCTTTCATAATTCTTCTATCTTTGCTCTGAAGTAGCCTTAAAGGACACCAAACCCAAACCGTTTTTATTCTGAAATGATTATAGATTTATAGAAAGTTCTATCGTATAAAACATCCCATGTACGCCTCCCTTGGTTCCCATCAGTGACCTCATCTTTTGCGACGACAATATCATATAAAATGACATTTGTACACTGTTGAGATAGCATCAGTTATATGGCCTGTCTTACCACGGTCCCTTATGTGGCGCATGCTGAGTTCTTGCCCCTGCCTGTGGTCATAAACCATTTAGGAGGCAGTTCTCTGAGTCTCCACCTTACCAGAAGGTATGAATCACACCACCACTTTGTTTCCTTGGGATTACGGTCTCCTGAGAAACACGAATGACACCTCCATGGAAGCTCGCCGCCAAAGGAGATACATCTTGGAAGCAGAGAGAGAAATCCCAGGGTCATCGGGGAAGAGAACCCACCAGTGGAGCATGTTCAAAATCTCTCTCACATGGTGGGGACCTGAGACAAGAGACACCAGAGGTTGTGTCATGGAGACCATGGGATGGAACAAGGGAGCCAGCCTGAGAGCAGAGTCTGAGCCAGGAAGACCCTGAGACAGAACAGCAGAGTAGCACTGAGATTTTGAAATGGCGAGGCAGAGCAGTAGGCTGGCATCTTTGCCCATGGAGGCAGAGGTCAAAGGATTGTGTGCCTAAGAGCCTGAGCCCTGGAGGGTGACCTGCCTACTGGTTGAGGAGCGGTATTGGTGTGGACCAATGATTCTATCCTTTCTGTTTACCAATCCTGGCTTTTGATACTGTTAGCCTCCCTAATAACCCCCCTTAGTAAGTAATCTGTGAGGCCATTGAAACGGAACCCAGTAGAGTGTTCTGGGAGGAACAGCTGGCATAGGGAAGGATGGATGGTAGAGGAAGGCCTAACCTCTGTCTACTGGCAATTGGGCAGAGTTAGATTCTCCTTCTCCTCCTCCTCCTCCTCCTTCTCCTTCGAGTAGCCAGAGGAAGTTAGACATGACCTCTGAGCCCTTCCTCCATGTGTACTTGCATGACTCTATGTACTTTAACCACATGCATACATGTGTGGATGCAACGATGTACTCACAGGGACATTCTGAGGTGCGCAAACAGGCGGGTCAATGTTCCCTTCTGTAGTGCTGTGGGCTGGAACGGACTCGATCACACTAACAACGACGACAATGGCCACAACAACAGCAGCAACAGACATTTAAAATTGAGATGCAGACCCATTCCAATACCACAAAATACGCTGTTATATTCCTTCTTGGTAACAATCTTTCCATCTCTCCAGCTCACACTGCCTACTAACACCTAGACACCACCCAACTGCTCTTCGTTTCTTTCATCTTCAAGAAAACTGCAGAAATGGAATCCTGACATGCGCGCTCTTGAGACTATGTATTTTTCGCTCATGATAAAGCCCTGGTTCATTCTTGATGTTGCTTGTGCTATTCCAGGGCATCCAGGTACCATTGTGAGGCTGTGCCACATTGCATAGCAATTAAGCAGAAACTCTTCTCCAGATAATGTAGAGAAGTGATAATTATGCATGCAATTGCTTCTTGAGGACATACTGTCTTTCCTATCTGCTCAATGTCTTGTGTTTAATAAAATATATGTGTTTCCCTTCACTCAGTCATCCTTCCATAGCGTTTCCATAGTGTTTTCATAGCCACTGGGTGCAGGCACCGTGCGGAGCATCCAGGGATTTTACACATGCAAGAGCTATGGCTTTCTGTATGCTAGTTCCTTTTCGCCATTTGGAATTTTACTTGGAAAATGTTTGCTTGTAGTTACTGTGATTGCTATACTTATTATATTAACATTTTAATATGTATTCTTATAATTCAATATATTGAAATATTTAGGTGACTATTCCGTGCCTTCTTTTAGGAAAGCAATTGCTGAGTATGCATGTGCAAATGCAATCTAACTTTGTAAGCAATGCAATTCTGTACTTTTTCCAAATTGAGGTTCAGATGGATTTTTACTTGTAATTTGTTCATAAATTAATGATTTCTTCTTGCTCCTGTTCTCCCATAGCATGAAAAATTAATCAACCGTCCACAGCGTACCAAAATAATTTCTTCAGATCCTCTAGGTAACGTATATTTGTTCAGTGCTAATTTAGGGTTGTTTTTTCGCCTATATCTGTTATATCTCTATATAAGTGAATTCTTTTTTTTTTAAGTGAATTCTTAAAGAAAAAAGAGTAGAGTATATGATTTTGAAATTAAACAACTATGTCAGTCTAACAAGTAAATTGCCCTTGGGGAAGTCACACATATAAAACAAAATAATTTTCCTGAATGTGGATCTAACTAACGTTGTGGTAAGAGCTATAAGAAATATGACCATTCTAAGTGTTAGTTTACTTGTGTAACAAGTAATTGCTTTATATGCCTAAATGACAATCGCAGATTATTCAGGAATGCGCTTTTGTTGAGAATTTTATGTATTTTGTCAAATAAATTGAAATATTTTATGTCAAATTTTGTAAATTAAGATAAAATTTTAGAAAGTTTAATACTTGGTCATAGTTTTGCATAACTAAATTACATAACAATGACACAAATTCTGAGAGCAAAACTAGACTTTCATTCTTACTTTAGCCTTTGAAACAATTCATATATATAATAGATATAAATAACTCATACATATATTCAAACAATTCATAGTTATGTAATGATATACAAATAACTCATATGTATACACACACACCATATTAGAATCACCTACCTTATAATTAGTCCTCTAAAGATATCCATGAAGTGTGTTTTCTATTTCTTCTTGTACTAGTTTGTTAGGTCCATCACACATGGCGAAAGGTTTAAATCAGAGATTACAGCTATGGATTGGTGCACAAAGAAAGTGTATGTTTTACTGAACTACATGGGAATTGAGCAGCACAAATCCAACAGCAATAAACAGACGCCTAGTATGTAAAATGACAGCTGTTGAATCTTGAAGAATTTTATGCTCACATTAAAGCACAATCACTATCATTGTAAACAACCACCCTAGTACACAAATGTCTAATGATCCTTCTCGTATGTACTAGGAATCCTAAGTGTTTACTCTGTCTTATATCTGGAAAGACCAGAAACACAAGTTTGGAGATATTCTTCCAAATGAGAATCTTCTCTTATGGCTGTTACTTGAAGGAAGATGATAGATGAGGCTAAATATTTTCAAGAGAATAAAACATGAAAAGGTTCAAATACTCGATTAAGATATTTAGCACTCGGGGTTCTATGAGGGATTTATGAATGGGGACCAACAGGATATGACTAAAGACTTGCTCAGTTGTTTGGAGGATAAAGTGAGGTGAACAGCAGTGTTTCCAGTTAGAATTCTGATCCTGTAATCTTCAGAGAAGAGACAGAGGATGATTAAGATTGAATTGATAAGAAAGTATGGAAATATCTAAGAGATGTTTGAGGAACCTTTAATAATACAATGTTTGAGCTTACTCAACCCAGTGGGCACATTAACCCAGAAAGTGAATAGGATCAGGTAAATGCAAAGAAAGGCTGGAGCTGATTATTTTGCTTTTATAAATATGGATTTTACATAGGCTATGTTACACACTGGTGAAAATAATTGCCAGAAGAATATGTAAACTATTCAGGATTTGGAAAACTAAGACAAATATGAAAATGTAGAAGATTTGAGAATTTAGAAGAGAAAGTTGGTAGGATTGCAGAGGGTATGTAAGTTTCCACAAGACTCGAGGTACAGATTTTGACACAATGTTATTTGGCAAGCTTTGGCCTGTAAATCTTAGTCATCTCCCTCACAGGAGATAGTTGCTTTGCTGAGCCTTACTTGTAAGTGGTGGGTCAGATGGTGGTTCAAATGAGCCTGGGGACTTTTCTTTTCATTTTGTCCAAATAGGATTCAGAGCATAAAGTTAAAAAAAAAAAGATTCGTGTTTATTATAGATGATTGCTGGATCATCTTACCATCCACGTTCTTTCCTGTTCTTGCGGCAGACATTGCTAATCAATCGCAGCCTTCTTTCTCAGCGGAGCCTTCCTGGATGAGGGCTCACGTTCTTCTCAGTATAGAACTCGCAGGCAATACCAATGAATTGTAGGTGTTATGCAAGATAAAACCTTTTCGCTAAGGAACTCTAAGTCCCAAACTCCTAGGATAGTGTGAACTTAGAGTGCCAAATAGAAATTTAACTTTTGCTTAGCTATTAACTTCTCTTTCTCAACAAGAAGATCCTAAAAATAGTTTGCTTATTTAAAAATACAAATAAGAAAATGTAGACCTGAAAATATTTCAGAGAAGAGATGTTAAGGTGTCAAGAGTTAATGAATTTATTGAAGAGGCCTAAGAGCAAACATTGGCATCAGGTGAATGAGAGCCAGTGGAAGGGCAAGGAGTTTGTACCAGAAAGGGAGGAGCAGAATCAGGTGAAGCAGAGTCATAAACTCAAGAAAAGGAGCGAAGCACTTTGTGTAGATCTGAGAAAATGAGAGCTGGGAAACCATTGCTGTAAGTCGTCATTGGAAGGATCTCCGAGTATTTGAAAGAAAGGCTTGAGAAGAGTTTTAGGAGAGAGTATCATTCATTTTACTTACTGCCATCAACCAGTTGGTTCCAATTCATAGTAACCCTATAAGACAGTGTAGTTTCAAACTACTGATCCTGGGGTCAACAGCACAACGCATGGCCGCTATGACACTCAAGCACCTAGGAGATGATATAAAACCCACAAAGCAAAGACTTGAGCAGTAGGTTGGTGGTGTGCTACATGAGGTGATCAAGTTTACATTAGATGAAAAGGTTTCATGGTGAAAAGAAGGTACGAGGACAGTAACTTGAGAGAGTAGCAGAAGCAATACAGTGGAGAGCTTCTAGTGTCTGTCAGAACATATATGGGACCTCTCGTGAGGAGGGGTTTAAAGAACAGGTTTGAAGAGAAAGTCTTTGGTTAAAATACAATCCATGAGAGGAGACGGGCTCCAGTAAACATGAAGGAGTGAGATTTTGTAAGAAGAGATTCGACAGACCAGAAAGTAAATGCTCTCTGAATAAATCAGAGTTGTCAGTTGACAAATTGGTGAAAATGAAAAGTAAACAGAACAATATAGCTTAAGTTGGAAGCAAGATGATCATTGGCATTTTGGTTCATTAGGAATAGTATGAGCATGCAAATAGTGTGGGCACTGCCATCTAGTTAAATCAAAGCATAATGGCTTTATACAGCGGAGCCTGTAAAGAACTGCCCCTTTGGCTTTCCAAAGGTGTAGCTCTTTATGGGAGCAGAAATCCTCTTCTTTTCCCCACTGATTGGCTGGAACTGCTACTTGCTGCTCTTGTATTGAGGAGCTCCACGTGTAATCCACTATGCTAGCAGGGCTCTTTAACAGGGGCACAGAGGTACAATACATGGGGCCTACTAGGAGTAATTTAATGATCATTGTTGTGTTCTCTGGAGTGAGTTCTGGCTCATAGTGATCCTAGAGGGTAGATTAGAATTACTCCATGGGGTTTTGCAGGTCAACAACACCGTAGTGAAACCTGGGACCCCTTGACTGAATTATTAGGAGACATAAGAATAGAAGTATTAATGATGGGGGCAAAGACTATTAATCAGGGGTATTGGAAGAGACAGATAAGGTTTCACAGTAGTACCCCAAATGAAAACCCACTGCCACAAGTGGATTCCAATTCACAGTGACCTTATTTAGGATTTCGGAGACTAAGTCTTTATAGGAGCAGATAGCCTCGTCTTTCCCAGTTGGAGCAGCTGAGGCTTGAACTAACATACTTGCAGTTAGCAGTCCAGCTCACAGTGCTACCAGAGCTTGTAGATATTTAAGTCAGCACTATGGAGGCCACGGAAGCATAGTGATTTTGTTTGATAAGAAAGATGAAGATGGGTGATAAAAATGAATTTCTAGCATGGAGTTAAACAAAAGATTGGAACTGATAAGATTAAGGAATCTGATGGTCAAGGGATGTTAGTTGTTATCAACAAGGATGCTGAAATGACTGTACCTTGATAGCAGAATATAGATAATGTGGATGGCGAGAGGATGGCCTAAGCATACAGAGGAAGGCAAAATAGACGTAGCACATGGAGATAGCAGAATGTTGGTTGAGTGGCAATGGAAGGCAAAGATGGGTGGGCCCCTTTCTTAAGTTAGTAGCCTTAGGAAAGGGTGTTGTATAAAACTGGTTTCCAATCTATGTAAATAGGTGAATAGCTGACTATAGATTTGTTTACTCCTGTTAGATCATGGATGGTACCTGGCACAGTTTTGTGGAAGACAATGGGGAAAATTTCACAGTGCACATGCCCAACGTACTCAGAGGAGTTATCTGTGGGTCTCGGTGGTCTAGAACAAGTGTGGGAACCATTTTGCTGTCAAGGATCATGTGGATATGGATGACATTATTATGAAATGACCAACCTAACAATGGCCCTTCTATATTCAGTCAAACATTTAATTATCTCACCCTAATGTAATGGCTGGAAGCGCTTCTCTTCGGCGAGGCGTACACTGCTAGCTGGTATCCGTGTTCTCACATTCCCCACTCCGGGTCTAGAGGGGATGAGGACCATGGAGGCGTGGTGCTTAGTCCTTGGGCTGCTAATGCCAAGGTCAGCAGTTACACACCACCAGCCATTAGACAAGAGAAAGCTGTGGTTTTCTAGTCCTGTCCAGAGATTTGGAAATCCACAGGAGCAGTGCCACCCTGTCTTGAAGGGTTACTATGAGTCGGCATCAACTCTATGGCAGTGAGTTTTGTTTGTTTGTTTGTTTGCTTGTTTGGGGGAGTAGAAGGACCCCTGTCGGTGCAGTTGGGTAAGCATTGGCCTGTGACCTAAGACTGATTGTTCAAACCCACCATGGCTCCTGGGGAGAAAGTTGAGGCCATTTGCTCCCCTCAAAATGAACAGCCTGAGAAGCCCAAAGGGACAGTTCCGGGAACTGTCCAATAGCGTGGCGGGACTCTGAGTCAGAGTTGATTGTGTGGCATGAGTTTGGTGTTTGAGTTTGAGAGGCCTGACTTTCTATAGGGTTGCTCTTTGGGTAGTAGAATCTTGATAAGTTGGCAGGGTGGCAGGGGCATGAAGGAAATCTCCTTTTCAACTGCAAGCTCTCCTTTAACACAAAGTGTGGCTGGAGACCCCAGTCACTGCATCCTCGGGGAGTTGAGATGACAGATCTGTGACTCCAACTAGCCCTCCTCCCTCAGATTCTCAGGGGTGGGGGGCGGGGGGTAGCCCAGCAACTAGTTTACCAAGCCAGGCATCCTGAGGTTGTGACCCCAGCGAGTGCTCTCAAATGTCCCACTGAGTTGTCCCAAATCCTTTGAGGGTTCAGAAGCTGAACCAGGCACATCTGGGTTGCCTGTGAACAGGTGTATTGAGTGAGCTGTGTGGAGGCTATTGCCCATGCAAGGCTCCTTAACATGTGGTCTTCCTCCTGTGCCTGGCAGAAGCCCTTTGGGATAACTTGCTGTACTGGCTGGGGGAGGAGCTCTCAGAAGAGGACGCTGCATCCCTGGCCTCCTCCCTCCCTCTGCGCCACAGCACCGTTCAGCTCATCAAACTGAAGAACGCCGGCAATCTCACCGAACAGTTTCACGAACTTCTTTCCTTCTGGAAGAAGTCGCTCCCAACTTCCACCGATAAACTCCGCCTTTTGGCTCGTCATCTCCGCAAGATCGGCAGGGGTGATCTTTCAGAAGAACTCAAGTTCAAATGGGAGAACAGAGTGTTCACTGCACCACAGCAGTGGCTGGAAATGGCAGAGTAAATGCCAGATTGCTCTTCATGTTGGTCCTAAAAAATAAAAAAATAAAAATGGCCACGGTGGGCTTTTAAGATCGTTTCTGTCAGAAGTTCATTAGCAGTTTCGAAGTAACATGGGTTAAAGTGAATCTAGTCAATAGATTTCCCCAGCTATTAAGAAATCAATGGGAACAAATGGAGAAGCACTAATCAGACAATGAAAGTGTACTTAGGGGGTAGGCTCCTTCAAGGTCCAGTGAAAATGTTCTGTAAGGCGGACTGTCTTAAGTTTCCCCCCGTAGAATAGCATTTGTCAGAGTTTGTACTGTGTACAGTTGAATACAGAAGGTTGCTTTCTATGTGAAAAAAAATCAGAAATGTAGAATCACCTTTTCTTTATGTTTAGCTACCCCAAATTAAACTAGCTATCTCTTCCTCCAAGTCACTGATTCACATCACATGGTATCTGTGGAGCTCACAGATAAGACCATCAAATCAACGGGGCAGTAGACCTCTGATGATGATAGCAAGTCACCTTAAGGAAACAACTTAAAATATATTAAAATGAAAACAATTTACTGGTGGCATTTACTGCCACCAGCTCTCCTTTTATAAAAACATGGAGCTTGAGCTAAGGGAAACTTCATTTTAAAAAAATATTAGGGAGATTATTAGTGAAACGAAGTATCAGTGAAATAATTCAGAGCCTGCATTAACTACTTAGGAAGAACAATCTGTTTATTAAAACCAACTTTTAAAAGAGAAACCTGAATTATATAAGACTAGGTGGTTATCCTTCAAAATCAAGACACAGCTTTAGGGAAACACCAAATGTAAAAGAAACAATAACTATCCAACCTTTCTGTCCCTTGCTAATCTCTGCAAATGTCTTAGTGTATAAGCTTTGAGCCTTTGGAAAACCTAAGTCCCTTTAGATCCCTGAAGCTATTAGATGGACATGGGACAATGCACTGGTTCATTAATGCAAAACCACATTATTATTATCATTAATGCTAAAACAAGAGTTAGCTTGTAACATCAGTAGTTATTAGTCTCAGTTATAGTATGCTTGGAAATTGTGTGAACTTTTAAGTATTGAGATAATGCCATTTGTATTTCAAAAAAGATTTGTTCCACAAATTATCCAGGGACTTAGGTCTCTATTTTATTGTGTATTATATAAGAGGATTCCAATGTCAGAAAACCAAATCTGTGTTTGAAGAAGTACAGCCGGAATGTTTCTTAGGAGCAAGAACAACACTTGCTCTCACGGATTTTGAACGCATGATCAGGAAGGACTAATCAGTACTAAACATCGCATGATGGTTGGCAAATGTAGAGATTCAGTGAAAAAGCGGGGCCCGCTCTGTCTGTCATCCTGTGAGACAGACTGACACAGTGGCTGCAGCAAAGGGCTGAAACAGAGCAGGAACTGTGACAACATTTGGTTCTGTTCTGCGTAAGGTTGTGACGAGTCAGAGACAACTTGATGGCACCTAACAACACATTATTAAGAAACATTTTATTATCAGTCAAGAGCTGTACTTTTTATGGGTCACAAATACAATATTTTTCGAGAAGAAAACTGGGTTGGCTTTTTATTCTGCCACTAGGGTTACTTGAATGCTTTGGCATAGTTTCTTCCAATTTCTCTACCTGCAAGGGAAAGTTCCTATTTTGTGCATATAGTTCTATGTAAAAGCATTAACCTCAGTGCTCACACACACAGGCACACAAATACATATGTATCTCTCCACAGGCAATGCCTCCCTAGCTCATCTCCTTCTCATTCACTCTCCCACATCATCACCTTGTCCTCATCTCCCCCAAGCACATGCTCAGTCACACACACCCAGAAACCAAAACCCAAGCCCAAGCCAGCGAGTTGATTAAGGCTCCGTGACTGTACAGAGTAGAACAGCCCCATAGAGTTTCCTTGGCTGTACATTTTTATAGAAGCACATGGTTACATCTTTCTCCTGAGACATAGTCTGGTGGGTTCAAGATGCTGACAAATCAATGAGCAGCTCAACACTTAACCAATGCACCACCAGGACTCTTTCATACACACACACACACACACACACACACACACCCTCCACAAACCTCTTATGACCATACCTTAAGCATGCACACACACAGAGCATTATGTACACTTGTACATTCTCAGATACATGGATATATGTAATCTTTGTCATCCATTCTCTTACACACCTTACCCCCAGCTCTCACACTCGTTCACATACAAGGCTCTATAGACACACCAGTCATGTCGTACCAAATGCTCTTTACATGCTCATATTCATACACACACATACAACACAAACATATTCCCTTATATACACTTCACACCCTCACACACAGTAATTTAGATACATATGTTCACACACACCGTACACACCTTCACGTCCATTCTCACTAGAGGCACACTCCCTCACACTGTCCCTCTGTTGCATCAGTCAAAGAAATCAATCCTATGGGTGAGGTAGGTGTGGCAGCCTGCTGGGAACCTGCCCTTTAATGCTCTCATGTCCACATCTCAAAGTTGTGCACCTTACACTTTGCATCGTGGGTTGACCTGTCTGAACCACACCAATGATACCTCTGACTTCTCATTGGGTTTGGCTAATGGCGATTCCCCCCCAGGAGACTGGAAGGAGGAGGGGAGTGAGATCCGCTAGCCTTCTTTCTTTTCTCGAGTTAATGCACCACGGGTAGGTGATAGCCTTCATTCAGAGGGCCCTCTCCTCTCGGGGAGGCCCTCTCTAGGCGACTCTGCCAGGGTTTTGGTCTCTTTGTATCTACTAGCAGTAACAGCTCCACTGCTATTAACACAGAGTAACTGGCCTATCCCAGGTGGCTCCCAGATCCTGCCCACTCTTTTTAAGATATTGGCCAATCTAGTTATTCTAATTGAGTGTATCATGTATTTTTTATTGAGTCATATAACAACCTTATACATTTTTAATAGCTATTTTATATAATGAATCCCTACTAAATACAGATGCTGTGTTTAATGCCGTAGAAATACAAATGTTCTCCTAATTGCAAATCATAAATTTCCTTTATATGCTTTGCTTTCAAAATCCTTTTTGGGCACCACCCCTTTTCTGCTTCCAAGGATAGGGCATTTCCCAGTCCCTGGACTCCTCACACACCAGGATTGCCCCACCTTATGCATTTTTTATCCAGAATGAGGATCATATAGTATATTTGCAGGTTTAAATATTTCTTTTTCTCACACTATGAGCACTTACCCATGTTTTAAGTGTTTAATGTCAGCATGATATCCCATGGCCATACTATAAATAATTGTAGTCTTACTTACTGTTGAAAAATTTGAAAATGGAGTTTATGTTCTTTCCAGTTTGTCTCTTTTGCTGCATGTCATGTTATTGAAATGCATCCATGTTGTTGTATGGAAAAATAGTTTGTGCATTCTCATGAATGTAGAATATTCTATTATATGCACACACAGCAAACTCACATTAAACAAAACAAAAAACAAATGATCATAGTCTTGATCTTTGATTTCACGTGACGAGCTTGTTTCGGCCTTTGTAACAAAGGCACCTTCCACTGGCTTGATCGACGTTTGCTTTGGGGTTGTAAGAATAGCAACATGTCTTGTCATGAGTAATGGCCTTGGAAAAAAGTCTGGGTCGCTTCAGAGCTGTTCTTTCAAAGCAAGGCATGTTTCACAGTTCAGAGCTGGAGGCACAAATTTCACAGCAACCCTTCTCATTCCCAAATGTTCCACTAAAATTTGCTGAACGAAGCTCCAAGATAGTCCAGATAACTCCCCCATCTCTCCCATGGTACATCATCGGTGAGCACAAGTGCATGAGTTTTGTTGACAATTTTGTCTGTGCAGGAAATTCATGGCTGTCCAGAACAAGGTTTGTCATCAATCGACATTTCACCTTTTTTGAAAAGAGAAAACCACTCATAGTGCTGTCCTTCTAAGCTGTGTTTAACATCACAACTGTTTATGCAACGTTTTTCCTGAGCAGGAAACAGAATTTCACAGCTGCACACTGTTCTCTTAAATCGGCCATAAAGAAAAAAAAAAGGGAGTTTGAGCAAAACTGTTTTACAAAAAAAAACTCACTGTGACCAGAGAGAACCTTCCCAGGGGACACCACTGGGTGCACTAACTCAAAGTAAGTTGCTTGATGCAACTTTTCCTAGCGGAAAAAATGTGTACTACCAAAACTCTCCCTAGTGAAGTTTTTTCTTTTGGGTGAGGTGGGGTGGGGGTACTCCCTTGTATAAATAATAAATAATAATTGCTGTTTCATTATGTGAAAGTTTGGAAAAATACAATTACTTACTATGAACACATTCTTAGGACCCTAAATACACATTGTAAAATTGACATTTTATATTTCATTTATTTAAAGGAAGAGTAAATGAATGAGGTCACTATATTGTTAATGCCTACTATGAACCAGGCTCTATGATGAGGTCTTTACAAGTACTTGCTTTTTTATTCTTCTCAACAGGACTCTTGTATACTTCTATATCCTACAGGGTAGCAAATGGGGAGTTATAAAGATGAGTCCCTTCCGTAAGGTCACAAATGAATAAGTGACAGGTGGAATTCAAATGTAGCTGCTGACTTTGCTGTCATCATATCATGATACCCCCAAGATCAGGTGAAGAATAACATATCTATTTTTCTGAATTTTTCTTAAGCTTGCACTGGTTCTATTTCTTGTCTTTAAAATGTTTACAATTCATATCAATTGTGCAAATAGATATGGTTTTGGAATTGGAGATAGACTCTTTAAGAGACTGACAACTTAGGATGATATTGCAAATAGAATTGACAAATAGGTGAAGCATCAAAATTAGGTCCTTGGGTAAATTAGCAGTAACCACCAATAACACGAGCTATTTTACCAAAATGTACCCTGCACTGTCTCATGCACTGCAGGATGACCCTAATCCCTGATTTCTGCCCACCATATACACAACAGGCTCCCTCACCATAGTAAGTATGACAAGCTTAACTACTTTAAC